GAGAGAGAGAGAGATGGATACCACTATAATGTCTGTTCTGGCAGGTTCCACTCCTTCCATGCCATTCATCATTTCATCCATTGGTCATGACCCTAATGGGTATTTGACTGAAGCATGCTTTATATAATCGATGACAGTATACCTTCCCAAATCATAATATATTGGACTATTAAAACTTCTTCTAATCCCTTGCAGTGGCAGAGAACAGAATGAAGACTTCAGGTGCGCAGATCCAGGATTTTGTAAGTCATGAAGCTAGCGCTTTTCTTAGGACCCAAATAATTTAGTGCTGGCTTTGCTTAAAAGTTTTTATGATGGGTTTTTCTATTTTCCAGCTTTTTCAGAATCAGGAAAAGAAAATTCGAGGAATCCAAGATTCTTTTCAAACTCCTGGGGTTTGTATACTTCACCCTATTTCTTATACATCATTTTCTGTTTTCAATTGGTTACCTATCATGTGACTGGGGAACTACAACAAGTCCAATGGGCTTGATATAAAGCTACATTTCCATCCATTCCGTTGCAGGATGGTCGATGATTAACAGGGTTGGAGCCCCATAGACATTCACCCTGGTAGAGTTACTCTCTAATCTCTGACTTTGGGAACGGATGTGGATGTAGCTTTGAGTCCATCCTTGATTGAACCATCATGTACTTTCCCTTCCCAATTTACTTGTATCCTTTTTATTACGTGAATACTCAAGTACTCAGCACCAAATTGTGGTCTATTTGATTTTGCTGACAGTATAATAATAGTTATCAGATTGTTGTGCTTCATGACTTTAGTGTTGGTGCCCAGTCTGAATTTTTTTTTGAGAGGGTTCTGTTGAATTCTCCATGAGTGTAATGTTAACCATCGTTTACTGTTGCCTAAGTGTTTGTGAACTATAATTTTGCAAGTTTCTGCTCAGAGGCTATCTATTGGTATTACTCCAAAATCCTGAGACTACCAAAACCTGGTGAAATGCTACTGTCTGTTCATGGCTCACCTGTTGGAGCTTTTCCAAATGAAAATATGGAAGCCATTGATGGTAAACTTCTCTCTCTATAATTGTTTCCTTAGTTGATGGGTGATGCATAATCCCTTTCTTGGTATAAGATCATATGTTTATTCTTGGGTTGCATGGAAGAATCTCAGGAGTCCTAAACTTTCTTCTGCTACTATATAGTATCAGCTATTCACTGTTGGATGTATCAAACCACACTTGTGAGGGGCTCTTAAATTACCTGCATTGGGAAAATGCTTAGGTGATCCAGTTATTTCATTTTGTTACTCCATTTTTTTGTTGCTTTTTTTAAATTTTCAGCTTAAAATGGTAAAATCAGGAAGCCTAAAAGCTTTCTTGCAACCCTTTTCCTCAACTTCTCTTTTATATTATTACACTAACATGGCTAGTATTTCGCAGCTTATTAATAACTTCTGTTTAAATAACTGACATTGAGGATGTAAAATTCATTGGAACAAAGAAATATTTGGAAATAAATTGATGAGCTAACAGAGGCGCAGCAGACAAAAGTTAGTGGGTTTTGGATGGCTGAAATAAAAAACGTGAGCGAGGAATATGAAGTTGATGGTTTTAACGAAGTAATATAATGGAGATGATGGAAGGTATGGGTTAATATAGAAGATGATGATAGACGGTATGGCTTTTAGCGCACAAACAAAAAAAACCGTGAGAAATGGAATATGATATGAAGATGATTGAAGGTATAGAACAAGAATTTTAGAGAAAGACGTGAAAACCAGAGACGTGAAAATAAAGCAAGACATAAAAACAAGACGATTGAATATGGACTTTGGGAACAATAATGGCTTGGAAGATAAAACAGGGGGAAAAAGTTACGGCATATGAGAAGATAGCAAGAGATGTGAAAATGAAAAGAATGAAAGAGGGCCTGTGGAGTAACTTTTAACGATTGTAAGGTTTCACTTTTGAATTTGCTCTCTATCGGCTGTGTTACGGATCGAATCACAAGGGGCAATGGTTCTGGTACCATAAAGAATTTTAGAGAGAGAAATGGACTTTGTGAAAAGATAGTTGTGCCTCACATTGTCTTTTGGTTGTTATTGTATATGTAATGGTAATACAATGGTGTAATATACACCTTTCTTCTTGTAACATGCAATATATATATTTTCCTATTTTGTTACATTCTCTTCTCAAGGAAAGAGTAATATACTTTCCTATCTGGTTTGAATCTTGTTTCTATTCGTTTGTATAAGGCCGAAGCCCTAAATAATCAAAGGCACACCTTCAAATAGTGTTGAAAGATGTTTCAGTATTGGAAATCTTTGTAATAGCTTGAAATTTATTTTCATCTTTAATTATAAAATTTGAAGCTTCAAAAATATTGCAGATCAAATAGATCTATGAACACTTAAAAATCTTAAAAATTGAAAGTTTAGAAAATGCATTACAAGATGCACTGCTTCCAAGAGTTGAAATCCCTTTTTTTTCATATCCATACATCTTAACGTTCAGATGATCGATTTGAGGATATTTGGATATTTGAGGATTTTTGGATATCGAATTATCCTCTCACAATAGGAGAAATTGGCTAAACAAATGAAAGACATACAGAGTAAAACCATATAAATAGCCCCTGATGATAAGTACCCAATTCAAGCAACAAACCCCGGAGAAGTTTGCGTGCAAATAACTAAACAGCTAAAACTATAATTGGATGAGTTTGAAAACCAGTTTAGAAGGATTGAGAAACATCCATTTGCAGAGAAACTAAAACCAAAATGATACAGAGAAATTGAACCCAAATGCGTGATGAACAGAAATTGAACTCTATAATTATTAGTGAATACTAGTACACATAATAAATTTGACAAGTTTACTGAATTATTGATAAATATAAAAAATAGTAGATATCGGCAAATTTATTAATTTGCTTTCAAAGTTTTTTATTTATTGATAAATATTAATATATTTCAAATTTTTGAAAGTTTATGATAGAGTACCTTGAAATTTAATTTAATGGGTGTTGGAAAAGAAAGAAGTATACAAATAGTACATTGACTTGGTGAGAGATATATATGAGGGAGTGCTAACTAGCGGGCGAACAACTAGTAGAGAGACGAGTGAGTTTTCAGTGACTAGGTCTATTTTAGGGGTTAGCGTTGGGCTCATGCCTCTTTGTCTTAGTTATGGACGGCTTAACTAGGAACTTATAATACGAGATAATGTTGTGGATGTTGTTTGCAAACGACATAGTTTTGATCGATGCGATCCAAATCAGCATCAACACAAAGAACTTTGGAGTGATGCTCTAGAATCTAAAGGCTTTAAAGTTAGCCAGACTTAGACAAAGTATATGGAATGCAAGTTTAATAATAATAAGAGTAAAAATGATTAAGCAATTAAAACTGATAGCCAAGAAATACCAAAAAGCACGCACTTTTAATATCTTTGATCGATAATCTAGGAAAATAGAGGGATTGAGGATGATGTCGCACATAGAATTAAAGTTGGGTGAGCAAACTGAAGGTGTGCAACTGGAGTTTTATGTGAACGCGGCATACCAATCAAAATGCAAGTTCTATAGGACAACTATAAGACAATTTTATTTTATGAGGTGGAATGTTGGATAGTCAAGAAGTAACATACTCATAGGATAAGTGCAACTGAGTTGAGGTTGTTGAGATGGATAAGTTGCAATTCGAAATGAATACATATAGGAGAACTTAGGTGTGGCACTAATCGACGATATGAAGAGAGAAAGTAGACTGAAGTAGGCTTTCATGTGCAGTACAAACCTAGCATAGTACATGTTAGGAGGTACAAATCAGTTCAAGTAGAAGGTTAAAAAAGAACAAAAGATGGGCAAAAAAGAGATGATTAGAAATAGTGAGAAAATATATGAAAACTTATGGTCTCACTGAAGATATGGTCATTGATAAAGTAAATGGCATATCAAGGTTCGTGTACTCGACCATTAATAATTAGAAAAAAACACTAATGATGATGATGCATACAAGAAATACGCCTATAATTCAATTGCTTCGATCCTAGCAAGAAATTGAGAGAAAAAACATAAAAGAAAAATACAATAAAAATGAGATATAGCAGTTGAAGAGAGGGCAGGTTGATGTAATAACAAAAGGATAGCTCAAGGCAACGAATGGGAACTTGGGAAAGCAAGAGAGACATTGTTATAGTGGAGTAGAGAGAGATGCTTCTTATTATCGAGCTTGTAGAGAGAGGAGAGAGAGCAGAGAGAGAGACAAGAGGCTTCTTATTCTAGAGTTTGAAGAGAGAGAGAAAGGGGTCTAGTGCTTGGGAAGAGAGACAAGGTGAGGTCACAGGGCTCGATGGTGAGAGTGAGATAGTGAAGAAGGGTTTGGGCTACAGAGACAGGGAATGGGGCGACCTCGTCCCCCTTCTTTCTTCCCCTTCGTTTATCGCGTAATTTTTTTGAAAAGATATTAGATCACCTTGGGACATTAAAAAATAAATTGGATTCAAATACAATTAAAATAATAAATTACATAAATTCTAAACATTAATACAAATTAAGAAAAAGAATTCTAATCTAATTTTTAATTAATTACATAAAATGTAAAAAAGAAAAAAAATATATGAAAATGAAATTTTATAGATTTTTTTTTCTTTTATAGTTTTCTTTTATAGTCATAGGTTTTATACTTTTGCCAACACTCCCACTTCGCATCCCTTCCTAAATGGAGAAAAGTGTGGAAATGAATCTTTCTTGGCTGTTCCCAATCCACTAGGTATGGCGACAGAAACCAAGAAAACACGTATTTTTCGTGTTTTCCCGGTTATGAAACAAGTACTGTTTTCCCGGTTATGAAACAAGAACTTGGGGAGATGCGTTATGTATCTCTCTATCTCAGCAATGCATCTACTCTGCATTTCCATGATAAAGAACGTACCCTGCCGAAAGGTCATATCTGCTTTAGGAACGGGCTCGTTGGTTTAGTTGTTTATAGCTACCACACTACGACCAAGTTCAAATTGCACCACAATTGCCCAAAATATGACATGCCATCTACTTTGAAAATTAAACATTGCAAGGGGCATCTATCAATGACATCTCAAAATAGAATACATACAAAAAATTATAAGAGACGCATCGCACCTTTTCTCTGTCTTAGAGAAACAGTATTCTATTTATCTATAAATTTCCAATAAATTTACATCAAGCAAGAAAGTGCGAATAGCAATAGCATCTCTGCAGTGACTGCACCCTCAAGTGACCATGAACCAGTAGCTAGTTTGGGAAAATGGTCTAAGACAAAGTAGCAATTTTCACTTGTTTCTGCTAGGAATTAAGTTTTCAGCAATCGTTTGCAGGATACAAATATCACTTTCCCAGAAAAGAACAGGGAGTCAGAAAGGCAAGCAGTTGCCATCAAAGGATTGTATGGCCCATATCACTGTACCACTGCTAGCATGTATGCACAAAATTGTCAGAAAGATTGCTATATCAGAGTAGATCTAATCAGGCTTCTCGAACTTCACCACCTGGCAAGAGAAGCCAATCTTGTGACAATCTGAATAACATGCGACAAATTCTGAAATACAATTAACTGGTTTAGAGGCGCTCACTTCCAAGTCCAATGGCTGCGTTGGCCAACGCATCAGCTTCAGAATTGTATTCCTTGTAAAACAAACCAACGAAACTTATAAATACTCAAGGTGAATTCATATCCATAAAAAGCCTATGTCTACTGCAGGAACAAAATCAGTTACACATAACAATGATGAGGAAGAAGAGAGAGGTTCTAGCTAAATAAAGGAACATAAGGATAGCATTCATGCCGTAGGAAGAAGCCATGAATGAGAATACTGAATACTGTCCAATAAAAAATAGATGGATAGTCAACAACTTTGATGTCGGAATTTTGCTTAAAACTCAATCCTAGAATGCATAAAATACACTGCACCATGCATTACATAGACCTTATACTAGAGAATAGAAACATGGCAAACCTCAATTAAGACACACACGTGGCTAAACTGTCGAATGCTCGAGTACAGCAATGCACTTTGTTCTCAAGTGGTGGATACGAATGGAGAACTTACCAGGCCAGCTGCATTGTTCTCAAGTGGTGGATAGGCATAGAGAACTTACCAGGCCAGCTATGAAATCTGTGACAAACTTTTCAGTTTACAAAGCTGTTTAGGATGCAAGATGTCTCAAGATAGCTCGAGAGTGATGGTCAAATTGGTACAAGATCAACAGGGCATCAGAGATGCGAGTAAAATGATTTGGCTAAGTTAAAATTGAGTTATTCTGTTGCAAATCTTGTCAAAGAAATATACCAATATTGGATAGCTTTAGGTAAGCTGTAACATATAAAGCACACATAATGCACGAGATACAAAATTGACGACATCTATTGAAAATATAAACAGTATATAAAATTATGTTAAGAAGAGATATATCTGAACAAATAAATAAAACGGATGGGCACATACACAAACACAAATGATGCAATAAAAAAAATAAAAATAAAAACCATACTCTTCCAACATGATTGATTTGGAAAGATGTGAACTTTTTCTTCAGTTCTTTGGCTTCCATACTCAAATCCATGATGTTCTTGTTCTTGGTTTTCCATATGTCCTGAATCTGCAAATTTCAAAAGATAAGCACTGATAGTTTCACAGGAAATAGTATCTATCAAGTATTTCTGATCATCATATAATAACCGGAGGACTAAAGTATCTATGGAGTAAACAAATAATATTACAGAGATATTGAAAAACTTAATGAATAGTAGAGATCTTAACAGCATGATCACAGGCAAAAGGTTACATCAGAAAAGTTGAAGTCATTGGGTTATTTAGAAAAAGGAATCCAAATGGTGCAAAAATTAGTAACAAACAATTTTCAAGCATACTTGCCTTGAGAATAAAAAAAGATCAGACCAAAATTTTCTCTTGGGAATGATTATGGCAGCCAAATGGAAGTGTATGAAGCATGGAAAAGCAAGGCATTGCAATTATAGCAAGAAACAAGTATATTTTCCAAGCATTGGAGAGGTAATACATCTACGATACATAGAAAAAGTAAGATTCCTTTAACATATTATGGCACTGCAATAATTATAGAAAAAAACAAGTGTATTTTGCATGTCTTGGTCAGGTAATGCACCTTAGATACATAGCAAGGCAAGACTCCTTCAATATATACCCCAAATAATCACAAATTTTAGTATGTGCCAGGATTTGTTTTTAACTAAGCAAGTATGAGGAAATGTGGAACATAGTTAAATGCGTGCCACTATAATTGTTAGTTTTTGTGCATGTTTACATCCTATGAGGTGTTCTAAACCTTTTGGTTGCACCAGTGATCATTTAGTCATTTATACACACAAATATTATTGTTTAAAGTGCTTGTAAAAATTGAAAAATACATAATCCACTTTCTAGTATCATTTTACACACATGCATAATGCAAACTCTATAGCCCAAAAGCCCATAAAATAAAGAAAAATGAGATCGTAGGCCCATGATATACGCCAACCTTAAGGAATCAGCTGAGTCTACAGTGAACTGGGTGGGACAAGGCGATTCACTAAAGTGAGAACCGCCCGGTTCTAGACAGCCTACGGACCATCCGGGACTGAGGACACCCCTAGGTTCGAACCGACTCAGGCGACTTCAAGTCAGCTTACAACTTTTCTACTACTGATGCAAACCGCAACAATGACAATGGAAAACAAAATTGCTGATGGCTCATCATTAGCTAGAATATCACCAAGAGACCAAAAAAAGATCAACACAATAAAAAACTTCAAGTTCATAATTCAAAAACTTTTGAAACTCCCTTTGGGATTAAGATCCCTACAAACCAAAATCACACCCCCAATTTCAATTAGGTTGCACTCCCCAATCCAGAGGAACCAAGATTCGTTTTAGTTTAGGTCACGGTGCCTTGACAGGGCTGAACGAGCTCCATCTGAGCTCCGGCTCCAGGATCCCCAGAACGACATCCTGATGTAGGATGGCCAACTGCCAAGCCAAGCTCCCCACATGTAGGGATTGAATGTGGTCAATTCCTTTGACAATTTGTTCAGGATTGGCAATAGATGACAAAGGTGATGGATTACTGTCAGTGCACTATTGCTCTCCATAAAATAGAGAAAAGGGTTCCCTTTTAAATAGAATGGAAAAATAGTATATTTAGCAGCCTTTTACATGATAGGGAGTATGGGATTGGGTCTTGCAAAACGAACATTGGACTGTCAACACCATCTCATGCATATAGCACCAGAATCCATACTAGAAGCCTTTTCTAAATGAAACCTAAGGAATTAATTTCAAAAAAAAAAATGCAATTTGACAAATTTATCACCATTCTTTCAAGAGGCACAATATTCACAGAAACAAAACCAGAAGCCTAAAGTTCACATGCAAAAGCATACCTGCATACAAACTAACATGGAGTCACCCTGTACTCGTATTCGGTCAAATCCCTTTTTGAGAGCAAACTTCATTCCTAATATGAGAGCTCTATATTCGGCAACATTATTAGTCACGACACCCAAACCTTCACGCAATTGACAAACCTTCATACAAGGTTCATAAATTGGTTAGGATCTCAATCCTAGACATTCAACTAAAGTAACAGTAAAACAAAAAATATTACTAAAGCAAACATTTACCACTCTTCCATCTTCAGTTCGAATTATGGCTCCTGCACCACCTTTTCCTGGATTTCCTTTTGAAGCACCATCAAATTCAAGAAGATACGTGACCTATAAGTAGATCGTCATTCTGATGTTTTGAATTTAGAGTTACAATACACATGCAAAGAACACCACTCAACCAAAAAAACATAAATAAAAAATACAAAATTTGATCAAGTAGAAATGAAGAGAAGAGAAACATTTTTCTTTTTAGCAATATGGCAATGGCGTGTTTCCTATTTTTTTTCTCCTCTCTCTCTCTCTCTAGTCGGTGTTTCCCTCTCTCAACATAACCCTCCTACCCATGCCCTCTCTCTCTCCATACCTTGTTACAGAGTAGCTTGGGCACCTAGTGAAGTTGATGGAAACAAATACGTCCCTATCTGTTGACATATCAGACTTGAAGCATATACAAACTTTCATAATGAAGTGTTTAATGATCTAAACACATCAAGAGCACGCTGGTGGAATCCACCTTTCTTCTTGCCTCATATATGAATACCCCATGGAAGGCATTTCATGAAGATGAAAAAAGGTCTGGCACTATGCTATAGTCATCAAAGGCATGCGCTCAAGATCATTGTCATGAGATTGTACAAATTCAGGAATTTCAGCTTGCCCTTTCTTGATTTCATCCCAAAGATATTCCAACCGACTAATGTCTTTGGAGTCTCTCCTTGAAATCTGAGGGAAGATCTTCATAAATCCACCTTAGAATGGAAAGCCCTAGAGAGTTGTCCTCTCTTTTGAACTCAATTTAGACATTAGATTATGAAAAAGGGACTTATTTTGGATAAATATTGTACTTTCTGAAAGAAGAATTACGCTATTTTATCTCTATTTCTTAAAATTAGCTAAGTTAAGGAGTTAACCCTTCCTACAATTTGACTTCTTTATAACTAACCAAATCCTTTCTCAAAAGATTATCTTTCTTATAACTTTATTTTTCTAATTTGAAGAGTGAAAAAGGAATCAACTTACTTACACGTTGATTTTCATTTTCAGTAACCAAATCTCTCTCCCTAAATTATATTTCTTATTTCTCTAAATATTCTCTATCCATAAAATTATCTTCCAAAAATCTCCTACTCCTTAATTTTCTCTCCATATATCTCTCTCTCATCTACATCTCTCTTTCCATTTCTTTCTCTTTCCATTTCTTTCCCATAAAGTTGGGCATCTTCTCTCCTCTCTCATCCTCGCCTCTCGTACTCTATCTTTCTCAAGATGGGGCAATGTGACCTATCCTACAATCTCTATATTATTAGGGTCCCTTCTTATTTTCACAACATGTATTTACCCCTTAACTCTGACTTAATAATGTAGTATAGATACAACAAGAACTTGGAAGTGATTTTCTATCAGCATTATTTATTTACATTGCAAGTTAGCAGCCAGAATTTTTTCATACTACACTACCGTTTAATACCATCCATCATTTACATGAAATGCTAACTTACAGGGCGAGAAGAAACTGCATCACCTATCTTCCTCAATTTAGAACACTTTAATGGCTGCTCACTGGAAAATGAAGTACAACCCGCAGCTTCCTACAAATCCATAAGCAACAAAAGAATATGAGCTACCCAAATAAATCCATGTGTGATATTGGAGTACATTTGGACGTGCCAACTTTAAGCCAAAGAGACAAAAAGAAAAGTATCCCATCCACATCATGGCGATATGTGGAAGGGTGCACAACCACCCTTCTAATGGTTGAGATTTCACATGGCCATATCTAATGGCCCAAAATTAATTTCATATTTTATTTTCATTTTTATTTAAATAAAATATTTATCAGAATTTTGGGTGTAGATTTATTTTTATAAAGATAACTAAATAAAAGTGATTAAAAATATTTAAATAAAAAATAACCGAAACACCTCTTAACTTTATTTTGACAAATATTTTCTATTTTTAGTTAATTCTACTTTCAAAAACGCAGCTAAAACACAAATCTCAAATTAATATCATTTTGAAATAAAAATTAAAATAAAAAAACGAAATTCATTGTTAACTCTTGGATGAGGATGGTTCAATCTGAGCCATTAAAAGGTGCTTGTACACCTTTTAAACATCCACAACATTTTTTTTTTATTGACCCAAAAAAAATACCAACCCTTATGATAAAATCTTGCAAAATTTATCAGCAAGAACTTCTTTAATGTGACAACCCCACTAACCAGTATATCCCACTCATTTGAAAAACATCAAATTACAGGATGAGCCAAAACTACAGGTTCCTCACTTTTCTTTTTCAAGTTGGAATGTTGCGATAAAAGCTCACTAGTTGTTGAAGTAGAACAAACTGAATCTGGCAAACCAATAGTCTATTACCGAGAAATATAGAAATAACTCCACATGTAATCTATGACAAATTCGTAATCAATCAGAGAATTCAACCAAGAATATAAACATAAAAAGCTACCTCCATTACATTACCAATCAGATCACACTCTAGTTGAGTACGTAACTTGCTAGGTAATCAAATTGACATGTCAAATGATAAATAAGAAGCAAGGACAGAAATGACAAGTCATAAAAGATTGGCACGCACATACATAAGCATGCACACACCAAATTATGCAGGTAGCAATCCTTTTGAATAGCCAATCCATGCACACACTACATGTGATGAGGACATTGTCACATTAGAGTTTTGATCTTTTTGTTTTTAGAGAGTGAAAACTAAGGTTATTTGATCCTTCAATTGTTCTCCGCTCCCTACACTTGAACATAAATCGATCTATCATGTTAGGGCGATTCTTCTTCCATTGAAGGCAGTGTAGGCAACGAGCAAAGCCCCAACGAGTTCAGTCATTAGCGCAACAAGAAAAGTCCCGAGCAATTTGAGTTAGTCAAAGCACTCTATTGGGCTCTCCCATTCGATCGATAGAATACTAAAAAGAAACATCCTTCCCATTGTTCCAAAGACCTATGTTTCAATCCAGAGATTCAAGCCTTTATTCTTGACCCCTAAGGAAGCGACTCTATTGGACTGTCAACCCCTGCTACTAGAGTAGCGGAGGACCCTAGCAGTAGTGGCAATCGAGCTTACGGGAAGGGCCAAAGTTGGCCCATGACACTCATAGTTTCTGTGATCTGAAATGGGGCTTGGGATCACATTTAGTTTCACAAGCCATGCATGGGAATATGCTTCAACAATCACAGCTCTGTCGATCCTACTTCTCTTTGTCCATTGCACCATGTGTAGAAGCCAGGGGACGTAAAGACCATTAGGTTATTTCCATATGACTCCGGCAAAAAAACATGTCATTCCATAGCCTGTCATCGATTCTGGAGATTCTCACTGTTGTGCCTCACTATCACTAGTAAGACTACCACCATGGTGGGGTTGTGGCCCACCGGGGTGTGTGAAGAATCCAAGGTGAAGGTCTAGCGAAAGGGCCCCCTAGCGAAGCGAGTGCTTTGATGTGTAGCCAACGAACCCTGAGCGAGAAGATGCTACACAAGCCAGCAACTGGCAAAGACACTTAAAGCCACTGGGGTAAGGAGAGAAGAGAGGGAAGGCGGGTCAAGTACCTCAAGGGTTGTGTTTACGAGCAGTCATAATTGCTTTCAAACTTAGAAAACCCAAATGATGAAAGGTCATACCATTCTTTCTCCTATGTTTTAGTGACCAAAGGGTACTTATTTCTTTGGAGTTGTAGAGAATTGAAGGGTAGTTCAGCATTTTAGTATTTTATTTTAGTTTTTTTTTTTTTGAGAAAGTTAACCATTAATTAGTAGTACAAAGAGTTACAAAGAAACGAAAAGTATAGGCTATCCACAAGGCGGAAGCTCTATATACAAAAAGCCCCACCATAAATAGAGGAAGGGGGAAGAATTAAAAAGCCATCTTTTTTATAAGTACAATGATGTGAAAGCACGGCAACTAACAAAAAGAAGCCGATTCAAAACCAAGTGACTACAAGCTGCCCTGCGTCGCCGCCTCCTTAGCGAGGGTGTCCGCTTCTTGGTTCGATTCCCTCCAGGTACTCCTCCATAAGATGCATATATCCCTGCAGAGGTGGTTAATTTCATTAAAAATGTTTCATTAGGGGTACTTTAGGTCATTCATGTGTAAGACGAATTGTACAAAAGGGAGAGAGGGACATCCACGTCCTTGGATGTCTTAATTTTTTGAGAACTTGAGAGAGAAAAACTTTAGAAAGGGCTTCTTGAATTCTTTGATTGAATGCAACAAGACAAGACAAGGTAGCACCTCCCAAGGTCCCTCTCTTTCAAGGTACTTTTCAATTTCTTATTCTCTTCTCTGCCCTACTATCTTCCTCTCCTTTCTTCCCTTTTCTTCCCCTATTCTTTTGTCATTTCCTTTCTTGCCCTTCTTCCCTTTTCCTTTCCTCAAGTTCTTTAGTACTCTTCCTCCCTTTCTTAATTTTTTTCTCTCTGCTATTTTTCATGTTTTCTTCTTTCTACAATCCTTTTGCTTTTATTATAACCCTCCAGACCAGCAAACACTCCCCCCATTAAAAACCACTAAATCCTTAAAATAACCCTTCCCCTCCTAGAATTAGCCCAAATAAAATTCCTTCAAGCATAAATCCTTATTCCGCATTTAATGTCAAAAACCTAATTTCTCTACACACCATTAACCTAAATCTAGTTGTGGATACATCCAGAATTACTTTGAAGTTATTCGTCCCACTTTTCCTATCTGGACTATAGGTTAGTTTTAAATTTGATCAGAATCAATTTTATTCAGCTAATTTTCTTTAAGGCTAGAATAGAATCCATAAAGGATTTGGAATCTCATCTCATGGGCATTAAAGCAAATTCCTGAATCACAGTTTATTTACACAAGTTTGTTTATCTAGTTCCGTGGATTAGATATTTAACTCTATTTGAATTTAAAGAGTTCTCCAAATTTGATTTTGGATCTTATACTTAAAGATCTGTGAGTTGTTGATCTTAGGTTACATTAACATGCAATCCCCAAGGATTCAGTTACTTGGATATGAAGATATTTGAAGTTTTGTCATGGAAGGCCAGGCTAAGGTCCACGAATCAGCAACTATTTGATAATTTGCACTTGGACGCATATTGGACTGGGTGCCTTATGAACAGAAGATCAACTGCAAGATATTACAGAACGATTGGAGATATCCTTACAACATGGAAGATTGAGAAGCATAGAGCAGTTGTAAAGAATAGACTTCAATTAGCACATGTCAAAACTCAAGACATTACTTCAAGATGTAGAAATGTTAGTCACTTGTCCCGTTCACGTCAATTTGAACAACCGACTTCCATCCGTGTCAACCTCAGCATTCCATGAATGTAAAATCATAGTGCAGTTGTTTGACACTTCACTTGATAAACGGTTGAGACCTGGGTCATACAAATGCCCAAAAACAAGATAAAAGCTCATCTTGTTGATATCTCCACTAAAGTAGTGGTAAACTAGACGGCAATATATTTTAAGTAAGTTGTGCACAACAGTCATGTTTGAGAGGGAGCCATGAACACAGTGAATAAGAGTTAGTCAAACTCAAATTTATGCATGTAAGTGGTTCATAAATCTAAGTGCATAACAGTCAGTAGTAGCTACATCTAACATATTGTAGAAATTGCATTATTGTAACCATGGGACCATAATGCAAGAATTGAAGATCATCCACATCATACAAAGTTAGGTAAAAACTGGCTCATAAAAAAAATATGGCTCAATGATAACAACTTGATTGACAATATTATACCAATAAACAAGGAGTATCTCAATTGCATCAGCAGATCATCTACCAAATATTACATAAAATGCTCATTTAAGCCCATAAAAAATAACCTGAACACAACATATTTCAAAGCAAGCTCAAGAAGCGATTATCAGTCCAACAACAGCTTTTGAAATCAATAGATGCAGTTGATATTTTACAACTGAGAGGATAAGACATAAAACTCCTCGACATAATAACTGTCAAGAAAGGAGTTCTTCACATCCATTTAATAGTCTCACTTTTAGATAACAGCGTAAGAAATTATAAAATAGTTGGTAGATATCTTTGCTTGAGTGATACTCTAATGAATACGAAATTATAAAATAGTTGGTAGATATCTTTGCTTGAGTGATACTCTAATGAATACTCATCTGAACCTTTTATATCCTTGTACATCTCAGTCTTTATACTATGTCCCATTTGCATCATAAAGCATATTTTCCCACTAGACAGGTCACCAAGCTTCTAGATCCAAAAATTTCACACATGAGATGGACTAAGAAAATGACTTACATTCATACTTGTCTGGGACACATGTTAGATAAGGATTTTTTCTTGCTAAGCTCTGGATCTAAGCTGAACTACTGGAAACCTCAGCAGATCCTTAAAATGATACCAATTTCTGGCACATACAAGTTCTCAGAAGAAGATGGCAAGGTTTTGAAAATATCCACTTGGCTGCCCCATTTTCTTTAAAACTTTTTTTCTAAATACAGCTCCCAATGCTCATATAAATAAGAACAAAAATGTTCATAGTTTTGGGACAGCAACATGTTCTGACATAGTTTAGCCTTGTTCAAGGATGCCTTCTCAGCGAGCCTCATAAAAGGCAAGGGACACTGGGCTTGTGCATTTTATAAGTTATAGCTTCTGATTACACGGAAATTGAGACACAAGGAGCTTAGGATTTTAATTTTCTAGGGCTTGAATTGTGAGACTCTTATACCATGTAACCTAATGATAATGTTCACAATGTTTCTCATCACTAAAGAAATGAAACCCTCAGGGAAAAGACTTCACTACCCTTATATAATACAAATGGACACAAAGAATAGTACACTATACATAATTGCAGTTTTTCCTTCTACTCTATAGCAGCATAAGCATAACATAACTATATAGACAACAACCAATACTAAAGCGCTTGAAGAATTTAGGATGTCACTGGAAATATAAATCCAGACATTTGTTTGTAGTTTAGGCTGCATTTGCCCAACTTTTAGAGACGTGCCCAACAATTATTATTCACAATTCCGTGTACTATTACTCCGATAATCCCTGCCCACGAAAATGAAATGATATTCGAAATCGCCTGGCCCCACCTCAGGAGGAGCAGAGAAGAGACCAAGCTCGAACTCACTCACCATGTAAACCCTTCTTCCCTTGCCTTCCTCTAAACACTAGAATTCAGCAGCGATGGAAGATAACAAAGCCTCTAGTAATATTAATGCTCCTTTCTACATCGTCCGCAAGGGGGATATAATTGGTGTGTGCTGATCTCTCAAGGGTTGCCACTTGTTGATTCCTTCTTCTGTACGCAATCTTTTTCCTTCTCTGTATTTTCTCTTCTCATCGCAGTTGTCTTTCAAATTTGCATTCTAGAATTGAAGAGGTGATGCTATATATTTGAATGAAAGTGGTGATTTGTTGCAGTATTGTGAATTTCCATGTATGATAAATTAAATAGAAACAATGTTTCAAAAATAGCATGTGCAAGCTCCCACCAGAGCCTGGCAATTCGACGCTGAAAGAAACCCAGGAATCACATGAGGCTCTCAGTTTTTCATGAGATTTTTTTTCTTTTCTTGTTAAAGTTCCCCTGTCCAACTTGGGACTTGCTAGAGTCCAATCAGGAACGAGAATTTTGTGGCTGACTCGGGATCGCATTCTGTTACTTAGAGCTGGGTATATGGTTATCCATGATGATAAAATATATTGATGCACTATATAATGATCGAAGCCATCATCAACTGCCTATGTTTACTTTGGAGGGAGGGAGGGTGTTATGATGCTCTTATTAGTTAACTATTCTACTGTCCTCCAAATCAATGTCATTTACTGGTTGGCTACTATATATTCGTGCTACGTACATTGGGCTCTAACTATGATGCTCTAACTATGACTATGAGATTGTGGTACAAAAGTTACATGCGGACCTTCAATTGCCCTTAGTAGATTTCAACACAATTGGACAATTGATTGTCCAATTGATTATCTAAATAAGCATGCCCCAAATTGCAAATTTTATTGATCACAAATTCGTTAAGAATAAAAGATAAGACAAGGAGAGATGTATGAAAAGTCATAAGTGGTAGCCAAATTCTTTTTTGGTAGAACTCAAAGAGCTAATCAGAATGATTAAGGAGTTGACATTGCTACACTACATCTGAAGTTTGAACCCCACACTGAACAGCCTAAAAGAAAAAAATTCTAGATAGCTAGAAAAGAATAAAACCATACAGTAGGATACTAAACCTGAAAATTACAAGGCATAAGTGAGCCAAGTAGTTCATCGCTTGCATCCTTTGAGCTAATGGAGTACACAGCATTCTTAAGACCGCGATAAAGAAGGTATGCTTCTAACTCTTTGCTCAAAGACTGCCCTTTATACACAGTAACAGATGGGTCACGTACCTAAAGAAAAAACATATAAATCAGAACATACCCATATATTGATTATGCATAATCAAGAAGGAAGGGAACTACTTTGACATCTGTAAGAAAGTGCATACATAAAATTACATTCATTATTGCTCCTAAAATAATAAGACATAGGTCAGAATGTAAAACTGAGGAAATGCTTCAAAAGAAAGTGATATTTGAATGAAATATAACACATGCAGTAGTTCCAAACCATAAGTACTCTGGAAGTATGCAATATAATAAAGTATTACATCATCATTATCAATATAGCCTTTTCCCAACTATTTAGGGTCGGCTATACGAATCATGGTTTGGCATTCTACTCTATCAAAGACCATACCCTCAATGAGGCCTTAAGTCCCCATATCTTTTCTCACCACTTCCAAACAGATTCAAGATTCATGGAAACTTTTGGCGAAGTTTTACATTGGCTGCCTACCTAACACAACCCACTTCTTTTACCCGGGATTGGGACGGGTTAAGGGAAAATTTAAGGTACTCACCCTTATTAGACCACAATAGGATATTTGATATAGGTAAAAGATTGTTATTTGACATAGGTAAAAGGCAAGAAAGGATAAAGGAAGAGGTAAAAACAAACTAGCTTCCATTTAACATGTTCAAAACATGTCTCACATTTTGAATTACAGGGAAACTGCACAAGCTCGTATGTTGAATGACATAAAAGAATTTTACCAAACCCCTGAGGAGAATCCAATGCTTTCTTTAGGTACGTGACCCATTTGTTACTGAGTATAAAGGGCAGTCTTTTAGCAAAGAGTTAGAAGAATACCTTCTTTATCACAATCTTAAGAATGTTGTGTACTCCATTAGCTCAAAGGATGCAAGTCATGAACTACTTGGCTCACTTATGCCTTTGTAATTTTCAGGTTTAGTATCCTACTATATGGTTTTATTATTTTCTAGCTATCTGGATTTTGTTTTCTTTTGGGTTGTCCAGCTGTGGGGTTCAAACAGTAGATGTGGTGTACCAATGTCAACTCCTTAACCATTCTAATTAGCTCTTTTGAGTTCTACCAAAAAACAATTTGATCTGCCTTTTCAAACAACTTCATTTGTCTTATCTTTTGTTCTTAACCAATTTGTGATCAATAAAATCTGCAATTCTTGGGGCACGCTTATTTAAATAGTCAATTGGACAATCAATTGTCCATTTGTGTTGAAATCTACTGAGGGCAATTGACGGTCAGCATGTAACTTCTATACCACAATCTCATAGTCATAGTTAGAGCCCAATGTATGTAACAAGAATATGTAGTAACCAACCAATAAATGATATTGATTTGGAGGACGGTAGAATAGCTACCTCATAAGAGCATCATAACACCATAACACCCTCCCTCCCTCCCTCCCTCCAAAGTAAACATAGGAAGATGTTGATGGCTTCTATTACGATAACACCCTCCCTCCCTCCAAAGTAAACATAGGCAGATGTTGATGGCTTCTATTATTATATAGTGCATCAATATATTCTATCATCGTGGGTAACCATATACCCAGTTCTAAGTAATAGAATTCGGTGAACTTTAACAAGAAAAGAAAAAAAAAATCTCATGAAAAATCGAGAGCCTCATCTGATTCCAAGGTTGCAATTTTTTAAATACTATTTCTATCTAATTCATTATACATGAAAATTCACAACACTACAACAACAAACTATCACTTGCATTTAAATACATATCCATTCAGGAATCCAAACATGAAAAACCACTGTGACAATAAAAAAAACATTGAGAAGAAAAGAGATTGCATACAGAAGAAGGAATCAACGAGCGGCAGTCCTCGAGAGATCGGTACACACCGATCATATCTCCCTTGCGAACAACATAAAAAGGAGCGTCATCATTTCTAGAGGCCTTGTTATCCTCCATCACTGATGAGTTATAGAAAAGAGGAAAACAATGGAAGAAGGGTATACAAGGTAGTTCGAGATTGGTCTTTCTGACCTCCTTGTCCTGCCTCGTCTTGGCCTTGCAAAAGATAACTGGTCTGAGAGAGAATTGGTTGTCAACATCCGTTATCAGGCAAGGGATGATTTCTGGCCATCTTGCTAATTGACTTCTTTGCTGAACCGGGATTGGAAGTGGGATATTTCTATAATTTCCTCTCGATCTCTTCTCTGGATCTCACTATCGAGTTTTCTGAATCGAATTTGTCTGATGCCGGATTAGGTTGAAAATGCGAGACGAGCGCTGCGCTGGGCCTGGCGATTCAGGGTTAGCGTGTTCGGTGCTGAAGCTGATCAGGGGCAGGCCTTCGCGTAGTTGCAGGGAAAGTTTGAATCGAATGCTCGCCATCAAATCATAGACGCATATAAATTAGGGATTGAAAACTACAACACTATTTATTATTGGTATAAAAAGGTCAAAAACATTTTTTAACCTTGGATGAGCAATTAAATAGATCGAAGTGTAACTCGATATATTTAAGTATGTCACAAACTTACGAAATTTGACGAATTTTGTTTTGGTCTTTGTGTTCCATCAATAATACACAAACTTACTATGACGAATGTTGTTTTGGACTTTGTGTTCCATCAATAATATATTTTTAACCGCTCAATTTTAAATATGACACTTATTAGTGATTGTGATCTCGTTGTATAATAGACGATCCCATTATATATATTTTTTGATAAATTATTCGACAAAAAATTTATTTGAATAGGTGAGTGGGCCAACCCATTGAAGCCTTGCCATGGAAAAGAAGATCGTGCTCCATGGGAAGCATTTCTACAGTGGCATCCACTGAGGTAGTTCTACAATAGCATCCACTTACGCATATAACATCCATCATGTAAATTGATGTTGGACGATGATAGCTCGAAAAGGTATTCTTATTTCTTTTCAAGTTACTGCTTATCATATTTTCTTAAAAAAATTTATTTTTGTATTCTTTTTTTTTTTAAGTTACTGCTTATCATAGTTGAGATTATACATTCCTCAAAATTTTGAATCTAAAATCTATCTCTAAAATATATTTTAGAGAGGACTCATTTGGATAGGTGAGTCGGCCCACTCATAGAAACCTTCTACATATTTACTTGTCCAACTTTTTGATACTTTTAGCTATATTTTAGTTATTTTTTGGTTAAAAATGTGATTTTAACAAATTCCTCTTAATAAAGTAAAACCAATTTCTCGAAAAGATAAACTTTATGTAAATCTTCATATAAGTTTTCATGTGAGATGCTACCAAATAGAAAACAATTTATTATCATGATTAACTTTATTTAAATAGTGATGTATCAGTCCTAACAAATTGTACACATTCTCAATTTCGAGCCCACACTAGTAGGCTTATTAAAATGTCCTGTTCGAAAGCAAATATTTCTAATAAAGATAATAAAAAGTTCGAAAGCAAATATTTCTAATAAAGATAATAAAAAGTTTGAGAATACCATTTCAAAAATATTTATATAACAATTAAGAGAAATTTATTAAAATACTAATGAAAGATCTATTCATTCACCATTTTAACCATATTCGGTTGTTGAACAACTGAATTCAAAGTATTTTGCTAATGTGGTTTTTTTAATAACCGAAATTAAAAAATTTCAGCTCTTCAAGAACTTAAATTTTTTTTCTCTCTTGCGGGTCTGCGTATCCTCTCTCTACCTCTCTCTCTACATTTACATGGGTAAAAATGGTTTTTTTTTTACTCTCTCTCCCGTTCACTTAGCATCTTTTTTTGGTAAGTTCATAATTCATGAGATTTCTCCTAAATTTAGGAGTTCAAACTAGTTGTTCCCCTAATTTTATCGGATAACCATGACTTCAAAGGGGTAGAGAGAGAATACGCCACAAGATTTCTCTTTATCTTCTAATCTCATAATCCGTAAGGTTTCTCCTAAATTTAGGGGCTCAAACTAGTTGTTCCCCTTTGATTTTATGTGATAACTATGACTTCAGAGAGGTAGAGAAAATATTTTTCAGACTCCTGATGAGCAGAAAATTTAGGTTCTTCAATAATATAAAATTTTAAATTGTTCGTTCTTCAAGAACTGAAATTGGTGTATTTTGGGTTCTTTAACAATGAAAAATACTTTGAATTCGGTTGTTCAACAACCGAAAAATGGTAAAGTCGTTTTTTTTAAAAATTCATATTTTGACATGAAAAAAACGGACACGGTGATAATAAATTATTCGGTAGAGCCGTAATAACGAAAAATATTCGGTAGAGCCGTAATAACGAAAACTATAACAAATATATATGTAATTTTCCCTAAAAAATAATCCAAATTTGAAACCTAGAACAAGTAAAAGTATTAAGCCATTATCTCAAGTAATTGAAGTGGGTAAAATTTTCTAAATTCCCTCATTAGTTCATTGTTTGCAAACCTAGAATGAACTATTTGAGCATTTTTTTTTGACAAAATTCTTGATGATACCGTAACCAAAGGATTTTTCTTAAAGCAAACATTTATTAGTAAATTTGTTGATTTAAATATCTCTAGGTCGTTATCATTTTTTAAATTTCTATAAAAAATCTCGAACTATGTAAGCATACTATTAGAAGAAATAATAACATTTAAAGCAACTTACTGCTTCAACAAAATGTTTTTGTAAAGTTAAAGTTTTTAAACTTAGAATACTTGTTTTACCTTGAAAATTTTTATTGAATTTGTAATTTATATCATCATCATAATCTATCTCAATTGTTTGGAGTCAACTACTTAAATTTTTTTTTCCATTTCAATCAATCAAAGGTCATACTTCAGTCTAACCATAAGCCACCACTTTTCTTCTCGCTACTTCGATCCATGTCCTTTTGGACCTTCCCCTTACCTTTTTAGAGCTTCCTACTAAAATTAAATCACACTTCCTAACCAGTGTTGTTCTCTATCGAGGTTGCATGGCCCGACCACCTACATCTTATTGCTTATTAGAGCATCCCCTAGATTGACCTTAAAACTGACCTCTGATGTAGGCATATTGTCACTAAAAACTCATTTGTCTCTCTATAGTTGTTCTCACATTACTTAGTGCTAACATCGAAAATATCCCTCGCCATATTGATATATCATTTAGATACTCGTTTCTCTTCCAACACCCTGCAAATTACCTGTATTAGTAGCCTATCACATACTTTCTCTAAATCAATCAATACCGTGTGGAGGCCTTGTCTCTTCTCCATAAACTTCTTCATCAATTGCCTAAGTATGAAAAGAGTCTCAATAGTTGACCTACCTGACATAAAACCAAATTAATTTTCTGATACATTCTTTTGATAGTGTGGCTCATAGATTTTATCACTTGATAGTTCGTACAATTATGTATGTCTCATTTGTTCTTATAAATATGTATCACAAAAAAATTTTGTTCGTACAATTATATATGGGACTTTTTTGTTCTCAAAATCTTGTTGAACAACTTAGTCAACCAGAATATGTCAATCTCTCTCATGCACTTCTAAACCTCTATTATGTGGTTCTCAAACCTTTTTTATCTTCATCTCTATTAAAGTTTCTTTCACTTCAGATATCGTAATCCTACAAATATATATGACCTCTGACATCATTTATGTCAAAGGTTCCTCCTAATGTTGTACTCCCAAAGTGGTTATCATTTAACATTTCAAAATAAATTCTCCATGTTTCGTCGACTTTGTCATCCTTCGCCAAGATCTTACGATCCTCACTATTAATGCATTTAACATGATCTAGATTCCTACACTTATTTTATTTCATTTTCTCAATTTCAAGACATCTCATTGACATGCTCTTGTCCCTATTTATTATATAGATCATCATATACATTAAGGTTAGTCTTACTTGCTATTTTCTTAGCATTCTTCTTTACATTTGTACATTTTTCTAAGTTTTGGCCATTTATATCCCATTGCTAAGCTTCTTAACATAATCACTTTTCGCTAATAGTCGCCTTTTTAACTTCATCACTCATCCACCAAGCTTCTTTATATGGATGTCTTTTCCCTTTATATTATCCTTAAACTTCTTTTGCCACTTTCTTAATACAATTAACCATCTCATTCCACATGCCATTAACTTAGTCCTTATAATTTTATTTTGTTTATTTTATCACTACATTCCTAAATATATATATTTTCTCCATTTTTAAGCTCCACTTCCTTTTCTTGGACGCCTCTTAATTTCACTCATCCTCTTCCATTTTTTTATGCATCCATAACCACAAGCTTATGTTGAGCGGTCAAACTCTCTTCTGAGATAACTTTACAATCATTACATGATAATCGATATGCCTTCTTAGCTAGAAGAAAGTCTATCCCGCTTTTATGATCATCTTTTGTAAGTTATTAAATGTTCATATCGCTTTTTATGGCGGGCATTTGCTATTGGTAGGTCATAAGCCATAGCATCATCAAGAATAGCATCCCTTATCTCATATCTTTTCTACATGACTATTTAAGTCACTCTCTAAAAATACCCTCTCTAATTGGTATTCTTTAGACTAGCCCATCCATGTGCTCTCAAAATTGTCTTCTAATTGTTGTCTTTAGTTCTACATATGGCAAATAAGCATTAAATTACATTAATTATCTCCTCCGTAACACAAATTTAATTAATAGGAGCCTATCACCTATTTGAAGGTGTGCTTTACTTTGATTGTTTGAAGGTGAGCTTTACTTTGATTGTTTAGCACCTCGGCTCTATACAAACTGCACCCTTAACTAAATGGTGTGATTTATATAAAGCCGAGGCTTTAAACAATTAAAATGGGGCACACCTTTAAGTAGTATTGAAATATATTATTTTAATATTAGAAATCTTTAAAATGGCCAGAAAAATTTATTTTATTTCTAATATTAAGTTGAAAAATAATGTAGATAAAGCAGATCTATGAACACCTAAAAATCTTGAAAATTTACTGTCTAGATAGTGCATTACAAAATGCACTGTTTTCAATACTTGGAAACATTTTTTTCTCATGTCCATGGATCTTGAGGTTTAAATGATCAATTGAAGGTTTTTCAGCATCGAAATCACCTCTTTTTGAGGTGCGCTTTAATTTAATTGTTTAGAGGCTCGCACTTATATAAAAACTTTTTCCTTCACTAAATGCGGTGGACACTTCAGAATGCGCTCATGATTAAGCTCTAGGAAGACGCCAGGAGTTGCCATGATCCATTTTGACCTTTTGGTTGTTTGGCTGAGGGTAGGAAAAAAACTGGGCTCCATCCAAAAACCCTGGGAGAACTACCCTCGGCAGGGTTTTTATAAACCCCAAAACCAGCTTACGTGGGGTTAACTCGTGTGTCCATGTTTGTGTATGTGCACGTCTCTGTATCGTCTCGGTGTACGTGTGTCCGCATACCTCTGTGGGTACGTGTGTGAGTGCGTGCTGTGTTCGTGCATGTATGACCTGAAATTGGCTTTCCTGATGTATTGACATGGACACTAAATCCACATAATTTTCTCAGGCCTCAGAGCTAAAAATACCAGGCTTTAAATATCAAAGAGAACTATAAATAGGACTATAAGAGTTTCCTGTTTAATCGCCATATAGAAGAGGTACCAGTGCTCAATAGACCCACTCTTCATACCACAAATTCCATAATTGAACTATTCTTTGTTGTCAATAAATGTGTAGCATACCCATTAAGAACAGACAGTACATAATATTACAGAACAAATGTTCATGACCATGAACTGTCAATATGGATTTCTCAAACAAGCACAGGTGGGAGAGCCGAGAGCCCTTCCTTGGTATGCCTACATGATGAAGATATTACAAAACTGCTATAGTCGCATTCTATACACTCAAAGAGGATGCATTCTATCATTCGAGTTTCAGTGAGGCTTGGGCACATATCCATCCACTGCAAAGTTTCTGGTAGCAGCCGGCAGAGCTAGGCGGATCCCATCCAGTTCAGGCTTCGCGATCACTTGACAACCTAACCGTGATCTGTGGATACAATGAAGCTGAGACATTTCTGATCATTCCATGACTTTTAAACATGAGAGAGAGAGAGTGAGAGAGAGAGAGAGAGACCCACGTTTCTGTAAGTCCGAAGGCGAGATCTAACATATCATTCTCTTCATCGGTTGGATCTTCCAGTTTATTATAGTGGTCCACATCCTAATAAAGCAGCCAGACCATGATTAATCATCTTTACATTTAGACATTGCCGTCAGTAAACAAACCAGAAAAATAAAGAAAGAAAAGTGATATCTGCATGCGTACCATTACAATAACATGGCAAGTTGAACATGCAAGGGAGCCTTCACATGCCCCTATACATCACAAAGCATCTATCAGAAGGCCGATTTTCATTCTGATTTGCACTTGATGCAATATAAACCACAGATGAAAGGAAAATCAAGATCATTGAGAAACTGCAATCAGCGTCCACAAACCTGAATGACTCGAGAGGAAGGCAATCACAGTCTTGAATTTCATTTCTCAAATAAATAAACAGCATAAATTTATGAAGGACATTTACCTTCAAGATCTATGTCATTTTCATGAGCAGCTTCTAACATGGACATGCCAATCGGGACCTTTATTTCTTTCTCATTACCATCCTTGTCCACGAATGTCACAGAGATTCTGTTGTGTTCCAAATCACCAAACAAATTCTTGCCTTAAGTGAATGAGCAAAAAGCATAAAAACTAGTAGAGTTCTTTTTTTGAAGCAAGTTAACTGTCAAACGATAGCAGAGTTCTTCAGGTCCATATGTGAATAAATAACACAGATTACCATACCAAAATAACATGCAGCCTTAGGTCCACCAATGAAGACAGACATGAAAAATGGAACTTGACAACTGTTCATCACGATCCAAATCCAAGATAAAATATTTCTGAAAAGGTATGCATGATCATTGTGCATTTTATGTTTGCGCATGTGCATCCCTCTCATATACTAATGCAGACCACTTCCTGAAGACAATAATGATGAATTAGTCATGAATTTTAGGTTTAATGGATAATCACAAACCATTCTTCAATTCATATTCATTCGACAATTATCGATTCGTCTACGTCCAGCCCACATTGTGAAAACAATTAGATTGAGATTTGTTTTCTTTACTAGTTGATTTTCCACATAATTTTCGGTTACATATTTATTGAATTTTTTCTAGATTAGTCATTGGCCGCGTTTTCCTTTTCAGAATAGGAGTTGGTTTCTTATAAAAGCCAGGATTAGGAACCTAAGAGCCCTAGAAATACATGTCCTATGCCTATGGCCAGACCAAGTTATTTTAAGAATAAGTTGGCTTTTAAGCCTGAATATGTTAATTCCAGAGTTTGAGGTGTTTATGCCACACTCTTATTAATGGAGCTAATGCATGAAAAATCCAAGTTTTGCATGGAGTTGACTCTATGCAATTCTAATCTAACTTGTAGTTTAGTGCGGAACTGATGACATATGCAGCTGGGTTCCCTTTCCTACACATCCATCCTTCATCTGTCTTTCACCACTTGCCCTGATCTCCTACAACTCCAAGCCCATTTTTTTTTTCTTTTCGTATTGTTCCACTTAAGTAACAGTGTATTAAGTTGGGCCAGAATGTACAACTTCTTGTTGCACCAGGGCAAAAACAGTTAGTGGATGTTAATTACAAAAAGGGTTACTGTGAGTTAGTACGACAGTACAAAATCGTTGTTAGTAGATGCGATATACAGATCAGGACAAGGGCTTCCACGTGGTGAGGGACCAAATCACAATCCCTTCTCTGGCCAGGTTGACAGCAGTGGTGTTGGCCTCTCTTATATTGATGCAGAGCACTTTCAGAAGATGAGTCTTTCACCCACATGTCCATTTAGAGTGATCTAAAGCTCAACTAGAAGATCTCTCTGAGATCTATGGCACCTCATTCCAAGGACTTCCATGCTGAATGCATCTCAAGGCCCAAATCATGATTAGAAGTATGTTGATGAATTTAGCCATGAATTTTAGGTTTAATTGATAACCACAAACCATTCCTGAATTCATATTCATTCGAATGTTGTTAATTCACCCAGCCCACAATGTGAAAACAATTGGATTGATATTTATTTTCTTTACTTGTTGGTTTTCCATATAGTCGTGATGACCTTAAACTTTCCCTTAACCCCACCCATGCCTGGGTAAAGGGGCATAGTTCTGTTATGTAGGTAGCCAACGTAAAATTTTGCCAAAACCCATCATGAATCCCGATAAACTTTGTTCTATAGAGTGGAATGTTGGGCGGACAAAAAACAACATACCCATAGAATGAGTGTAGCGGAGATGAGGATGTTAAGATGGATGAGTGGCAAGACAAGATGGGATAGAAGTCGAATCTATTCGAGAGAATTTAGACGTGGCACCAATAGGCGATAAAATGAGAGAGTAGACTTAGGTGGGGCTGGCCATGTGTGGCGCCGACCAAGTATAGCACCTGTTAGGAGGTGCGAATCAGTTCAAGTGGAAGAACTGAAAAGGTCAAGGGGTAGGCCCAAAAAGACGTGGTTGGAAGTAATCCGAAAGATATGGGGACTGATGGCCTCACTGAGGCTACAGCCTTTAATAGAGCAGAATGGAGAACCAACATTCATGTAGCCGACCCCAATTAATTGGGAAAAGGCTAAAATGATGATGACAATGATGACTTGTTGGTTTTCCACAAAGTTTACGGTTACATATTTATTGAATTTCTTTCTAGAAGTTAGTCATTACACATGTTTTCCCTTATGTAATAGCAGTTAGTTTCTTATAAAAGCTAGGATTAGGAACCTAGAAGTGCTATAAATGCATGTAATACGCCAATGGCCAAACCAAGTCATTTTGAGGATAAAGTTAGCTTTTACGCTTGAACACGTTAATTCCATCTTTTGAGGTGTTGATGCCGCACCCTTTTTCTTTTTCTTTTTTTTGAAGAGGTTAACTGTTATATATATAAAGAAGAGAGTACAGAGAGAAAGTGAGAAGTGCACTTCCACAGACGGAAGGCAAACAGAACACTTATGCCAAGGGGAATGAGAGATAGTAAGTTCCAAAAAACATCTTTTTTATCAATTACAATGCGAGGAACAGAGAAACCAACAAAAAGATGTCTATCCCAAAAATTAGGCTTCTTCTAAAACCACTCCATCTTTAGCTAGTGTCTGCAGCGTGGTTTCCCTCCCTCCAAATATGCCTCCATGAGACGCGAATATCCCTGCAAATGTAGTGAATCTCATCAAAAATGTGTGCCAAGTTCCAAGGAGGGGGTAAAATATTAAATACCCAAGCTATAACATTTTTGGAGTCTCCTTCAATAATGAGGGGCTCCGAGCGGTAAGGTAAGCAAAGTTTGAGCCCTTGAAGAAAGGCAGTTGCTTCCGCCTCCGTGGAGTTGGCATGACCTATGGATAAAGATAAGGAGGCTAGAGTGGCTCGGAAATTGTCCCTTAGGAGTGCCCCTATTCCGACTGGACCCGGGTTTAGCACCCATCGAGGTTCGATTTGAGGGTACCTGGCTCAGGAGGTCTCTAACAGAACTTCGTGAGATGCTCTTATAATGATGTTGAAGGATGGCTCTCCAGTCATTGAAGAAAACAGTATGGGGGATGCCTTTAAAATCCTTATGGCTAGTCGCCCAGAAGACCATAGAAGATTTGAGCTTAGCAAAACAAGTTGGATAAGTCGAAGAGACTCCCTTGAAAATTCTGTTGTTTCTCTCGATCCCAATTGCCCAAATTGTTGCTCCCACCACTGTTTTCCAAAGAAGGATCCCTGGTTTAGGCCATGGATGAGGTTTGATACTAGAAAGAATGTTAGGTACTGTAGCGGCTAGTATCCACTTACGCGAAACAATTCTAGTACCTTACCCCAGATAGCAAAGGCGTAAGGGCAATGAAGGAACAAGTGGTCATTGGTTTCCTCTAGTTCCAAACAGAGAGCACATCGGTTGGCCAAGGGCAGACCTTTTCTCTGTAGCCAGTCAGTAGTGAGAACCCTTTACCAAAGGTCAACCCACATGAAGGCTTTGAGTTTAGGGGGTGACAAAGACACCCACGCCAATGCTACAACAGAAGTGGGTGAATAGGGAAAGGTTGGGGGAGAAGTGAAAGAAGAGTAAAAGGATGAAATTGAGAAGGCACCAGATGAAGGCGGTGTCCAAATCAGCTGGTCCTCTCCTGTAGGAGATATGAAACAAGCTTGCAGGGCTGCCAAGAGCTCAATTAAAGGAGGGATTTGAAGGTCATTCAGAACTCTTCTGAAACATGGGTTCCAGGAGCAAGAAGTTCCCCAGGAAGACATCTCCGTGGCCACTGAAGAGTCTTGGATGCAGGCTAGCGAGAACTGGCTTGGGTACCTATCCTTGAAAGAAGTAGGACCAAGCCATATATCGAGCCAGAAATGTACTCGATTGCCCCTCCGAGGGTGAATGCGAGTGCAGTTCTTGAAAGAGTGGCATGAAGATCAAAGAGATCTCCAAATACCAGAGGCTCTACTGTGATTTCAAATTTCGGGAATCCAAGGAGAAGCTGGGATATGGTATTTGTGTTTGATGATTTCAATCCACAGTTGATCAGATTGAGTTGATAGGCACCACCACCACTTTCCAAGTAAAGCCTGGTTCTGTTTCTTGAGAATTTTAATACCTAGTCCTCCTTGTCTTTTTGGTTGGGCACAGATTGTCCCACGAAATCAAATGGTATTTGTGATCGTTCCCAACTCCAGGCCAAAAGAATCTGCGAATGAGTAGTTGAATCTGCGAATGAGTAGTTCAATCCTGGCCGCCACAGTGGCCGGCATATGAAAAATAGACATCTGGTAAATTGGAATATTGGCAATGGTTGCTTTGATCAGGGTCGTCCTTCCGACTAGGGAAAGGAACCGACCCTTCCATCCTGCCAATCTCCTATCAACTTTGTCTATGATGTGGGACCAAGAGCTATGCTTAGGTTTACCTAAACACCGAGGCAGTCCAAGGTAATTGGACGGTAAAGCTTGGGCCTCATAGCCCCAGCTGTCGGCATAGGCTTTAAGAGAAAGGGAATCAATGGAAACCCCCATCATTTTTGTCTTTTTGAAGTGACTTTGAAGCCCGTGGCGAACTCAAAGCATCTTAAAAACAAGAAGAGGTTATCAGGCTCTTCGGGATCAGCGTTGCAAAAAACCAGGGTATCATCTGCATATTGCAAGTGCGAGACAATTGGGCCCTGGTTTCCACAAGAGAAACCATGTAGCATACCAGCTTCGTCGAGGCGGGAGATTGATTGAGTAAAAACCTACGCAACAATAGCAAAGAGGAAAGGAGACAGGGGGTCTCCCTGTCTCAAACCCTTGATGAGGATGGAGAAGTAGGGGTTGGAGTAGCATGCTTTCATCCACGATCACCATTTCACCCTGAACCCCATTATGGTTTGAGTTTCCTCAAGGATGGCCCAATTCATGTGATCGTAAGCCTTTCCCCATTCAAGTTTAGCAATTAGGCCTGGTTGTTTACTTAGATGTCTAGAGTGCACACACTCATGGGCTACTACAGCCCCATCCAAGATTTGCCTATCTTTTACAAAGGCACTCTGGGTGATGGATATAACAAAAGGCAGGATCTCTTTAAGGCGAGATGTTAGGACCTTTGAGACAATTTTGT